TGAGGAATATTGCTATAACTGGTGTATAACATGGCCAAGTAAGTTATGTCACGTCGTAACTTTGATGATCGTTTTGAAGCTTTATTTGTTCGCTCATTACTGTAATGTAAATGTTTTAGAAGTTGATGGTACGAATATAAATTACAACAATACGTCAATTAATTACGTGATCGATTTTTGAAGGAGAATGTTTTTGGAGTGAATAAAATTATGAGATTCGTGAACATAAATCTGGCTTAACGTTTTGAATGCGTTTCCTTCAACGTTTTACAAAACAATTAAATTGCAACAATAATTTATTTGTGTTTGTTTTTAGTCTGCAGCATTTGTATTTCGAGAATGTTTCAAACTCTTCTTAAATTGTGAAACATAATGTGTTGATTCCATTAAAAAAAATATTTGCCCTGTGACTGAGCTCACTAATATTCATAATTGTAAATAAGTTCTGTTAATCAATGAAGGAAAGATATGTAAATGATATGCAAATTATTATGCAAATTAGCCCCGGCGCTATGCATTTTTTCTGGGGAGAACCCTGATGTTGTACGTCTAGCCTGTGATTACAGAATTTTTTTTTTTTTTTATTTTTTGTGCCAGGCGACAGTTCTGGACATTGAGTGTCACTGTTGTCTCTTCTGACTTTTTTTTTTTTTTTTATGTGCAAATTGCAAGTGCGAGTGACGACACATAGTGCATTTTGCCACAGAAGTCATATTCATGTTTGGGACTACATGACAGGGCTGTGTGGCCATCTCTCTGTCAAATAGCAATTTGTAATGTGCTATCCTGGCGTCAACCAGGCCCGGTCGAACACAAGCACTATGCTACCAGTGACCTTTGCAGCCCCCTCCATACTCCATTTTAACTTAGAATTATCAAAAACTCCACACCCTGGTAGGGAGAACCCTATCTCCCCCACTTGGTGACGCAGCTGAATTGCAGTGCTCCCACTTGCAGTCTTTTTCTAGAAAAAGACCTGGATGGCATAGAAATTTTGAACAAAAATTCCAGGCATGCCAGAAAAATGATAAACAAGCAGACAGAGGGATGGACAAACAAACAGACTGTCATATGGAAATACCCAAAACACAAGTCCTTGTTTGGAACTTCAGATGGCAACTAATAAGGAGTTGGAGAAATTCACTGTTGAACAACAAGTGAAAGATTGTTGATCAATGAACCCTGAAGAGAGACCTAAGCAAGAGATAAAATGCTCAGAATAATAAGAATTTTTGACCAAATTGACAGCGGAAATAACTTAATTGGAATCAAAATGCTCTACCATAGTGACAGAAGTCACACATTATCAGCTGACAGAAAAAAGGTAAAAAAGTATAAAGGTTGTTATTACAGTTATGCATGTTACACTCACCACAGTTTTGGATTTCTTTCTAGGTTTACTCTCCTCTTTGTTTTTTCTTTTGTTGGAACCCTCCTCATCATCACCATCTTCATCATCACTACTGGATGCAGCATTACTGTCATATCTAATCAGAAATCACTCAGCATAAATATTTCATATTATCACAAAAAAATATTTTCAGGTCACATTTGATAACAATTTTGGTTATTTTCATTGAATGTTTTGCGAAACACTGATTTTTTCAGAGATTCTTTGATTCAGCCATCATTTATGAACTGAAACATGCAGCAGGCATAGTGACAGGGTAGTAAATATGCTCGTGTAGCAGGCATT